CGTCGCCCTGCACCCCACTAGCAGATTTTTGACGCCTCCAGCAAACCCGACACCGGCTCTCTCGCTCGCGATCCTCCAACCCGCACACGACACCTTCGAACCCTCAAAAAAACCCGGGGTATCTTTCTCCACAACCATCTTCGAATACCCTAGCTGCGAAATACACATTGCAGCCCCGGCCTCGACGCCCTCTTCTCTTCCCCAGGTCCTAGTCATACCCTCGAGCGGTTCTAGGTTCAGCCTCCAATATCGCCGGTTTCGCCCGACCACTATTCTCCTCTTGTTCATTCACCCATTGCTTCTTGAGCAACCAGCAAATCTTCACAATGGTCCGCAATATCATTGTTCTCGGAGGCAACTCCCACCCGGAGCTCCTCAACAGTGTTTGCAACAACCTCGGGCTGAACCCATGCGAGCGCATTCTGTCAAAGTTCTCTGTTGGAGAGAGCCGCTGCGAGATCAAGGACTCTGTGCGCGGCAAGGACGTCTTTATCGTCCAGACTGCATCTGGCAATGTCAATGACAACTTCATGGACTTGTGCATCATGATCTCTGCCTGCAAGACGGGCTCCGCCAAGAGAGTTACGGCTGTCATGCCTCTGTTCCCCTACTCGAGACAACCCGATGTCCCCTACAAGAAGGCCGGCGCACCTCTCTCAAAGCCAGCAGCAGGGACATCTAAGAACTACACCTTTGAGAGTGTGCCTGCGACCCCGGGTCCTGGTATTGCGCGCAGCATGGGCCTCCCCAACGGCATTGATGGCATTGCCTCAAAGCTGGCTAAGAGCAAGCTCAACGAGGAGCGATCTAATGGAATGAACGGCGTCGACCATTCCAAGACCAATGGCAACGGTCGTAGCCACCACGACTCTGTATCCTCCCAGGTCAGCTACACCAACCACGACAACGAGCAACAAAACCGAATCGATGGCTTCCAGTCCAAGCCTGGATACAAGCAGTGGGTTGCCCAAGCTGGCACACTGGTTGCTGACCTCCTGGCTTGCGCTGGTGCGGACCATGTGGTATGTACCCCCGAAAAGAACTCCTGAGAATAGCTCGAGAGAGTGTTCAAAGGGGGCCAAAAGATTCGCGCAGCCAAACTAACAGAACGTAGATTACGTAGGTTTTCTTCCCGATCATCCTTTACGTGGTGCTTTATGTGACACAAAGGCCATTGCTACAACCCTCTCTGGAGCTTCCCAAATGCTCTTTATACCTGCATCGCTTCATTGCTTCTTTCTGAAGCATATGCTAATGATTGCAGGATGGATCTCCACGATCCTCAGTACCAGGGCTTCTTCGATGTGCCGGTCGATAACTTGTACGGCAAGCCCCTCCTCATGAGGTACATCCGCCAGAACATCCCCAACTATAAGGATGCTGTGGTTATCAGTCCCGATGCTGGTGGAGCCAAGCGCGCCACTGCCATCGCTGATGAGCTGGACATGGCTTTCGCCCTGATCCACAAGGTAGGCCATTACTCCCCGTGTGAGGAGACACAGGATTCATGGTTTTTTTACAGGAGCGACGCCCGACCAAGTACACCGAGCAACGCAATGCCAGCATGATGCTGGTGGGTGATGTCAAGGACAAGGTCTGCATTCTTGTTGACGACCTCATCGATACCGGCAACACCATTACGAGAGCTGCCAAGTTGCTCAAGAAGGAGGGTGCTACTCACATCTATGCTCTCTTGACGCACGGCATTCTCAGTGGTGACGCCATTCCGCGTATCAACGCTTCCGCCATCGACAAGATGGTCGTGACCAACACCGTTCCTCAAAAGGACCACATGCGCGCCTGCTCCAAACTCGAGTTTTTGGACGGTGAGTGCTCTCGAATACTACCGTGTCCTGGAGCGAAGCTAAAATTTAGCAGTCTCTCCGGTCTTTGCGGAGGCTATCCGTCGTGTTCACCACGGCGAGTCGATCAGCGTCCTTTTCCAGCACAACTAAAAGCATCATCACGTGGCGTTCGAAAAGAAACATCGGCTTTTTTGCATCGGAGGGTTTATTGGATTCCACCAACTGCTTCTAGGGAATCCCAGCAACCGTTGGTGTTGTTTTACTGGCGTTCAGCACAGGGGGTGGGTTGAGTGTGGCATCTTTTCTTACGCCATGGATATTCTAGACGTTTTCCTCTTTTACCCGGACTTATCAACAACATACCAGCTCGTTTCCCATTGGAAATGATGCAAACCAGTGGCAGCCCCGTTTGGCTAGCCACATTGCTACACAAAAACAAGATACTTAGAACCTCGTTCGTAAGATGGAGGCTCTCTGTACAGCGGAACAGCGGACCCGAAGGGGGAGCTTTGCTATACACACAAACTTTTCATGTCTGATGGATTACACTTGTCCGTTTTACTGTTGGCGACTTTGAACGTTTCTTTCATGATTTTTGGGACTTGTGCGAAACGGGGGCCAGTAAAGTGCTGCGCAATAGTCTTCATCCCGTCCACATAACACAAACATATCCGTAGAAGGTTCAGCCGCTTGATGATCGTCAGCGTGCCCGTAGACAAACCGTGACACATATTTGAGATAGAAAAGAAATCTAGCAATCGAGATGTACAAAACCTCTGTCAGTTTGAAGGCGAATGCCCAGTGCCGTCGTTGCGTTGATGTCTGTTTGTGCTGACGAAGACTTGTCCTTGTAAAATGCTTTTCACATGTCAGATGTACCCATCAGAAAGAGGGTTTGAATCTGTTATCCCCTGGCATACAAATAGTACACCAAATCAGACTCAAGAAAACAAAGAGTGAACCGAATCTAGGCCGATGGAAGTTCCAAAAGAAAAAGCAAGGATGTCGGAACAAACTCCTACAAGCCAAGAAGTCTTCTTCCCCAAAGGTTTCCCGACCCCAAACTCCCCAAATTCCCGCCCTGGCCCCACCGAGCCGCGGTTTCGCGGGGTACATTCATTTCCTTATCTTATCGGGGCGATGGAAGCCAAGCTCTCGCCCCGCCAACCCGCTGAGCTTCCCTCTCCCGGGGAGGGATGCTTAAACCGAACGACATCTTTGCCGTGAGTTTTGAGCCTCGGCAACGGGCAACGACGTCAGGCCAACGAGGACGAGCAGCATCCTTGAACACACAACTCGAGTGACTTTCTCACACCTTCGTCTCGTGCGTTGTAGACAATTCAGGTCTGGGCGACTCTAGTAGCATTAATCACACAACCGGGTCATTCGCAATGGCGACCCTCTCCGGCGCAGAGCGCATCCGCGCAATTACAGATGAGGACGGCATGTTCAAGGCCTTTGACACGTACCCCTGGAAAAGAGACAAGATGTTCACAGTACGTCTCACCTTGGAATCATAGATAATATATAGCCCGTCAATCATCTCGAGCTAACGATACGTGCTCCAGTCCGGCCTCTATGCGATCCTCGGCGATCCAAACACGGAAAACCCGCAAGGCACACCCACCGACCTCGCGATCCACGCCCGGATATTCTACTACGCCCAACGCATCGGCGTGACCATTGACTTTGCAAAGTACAAGGACTGGCTCGCGAAGCACCCGGACCACACGCCCCCCGACGTCCTGCCCGAAGAATACAAGACGAGCAGCACAACTAGCACACAGGGAGCCTCTTCGTCCACAGCTCCCGCAGCCAGCGGCGCAACAGAATCATCAACAGACGACGTCCCAACACTAACTTCCAAGCTCGACACCCTCAACACCAACGAGACCACCCTCGCAGACCCAACACCAGACTCTTCCGCAACCCCGGCAGACGAAGCAACGCCCTCATGGCAAGCAGCAGCCCCCAAAGCAGACCTCTACGTCGAACGCAAAGCGCAGCCGCAGGAGGGCGCTCCAGGCCAAGGGGGCGACGAGCCAGCGTACCCAATGGGTTTCGCGCAGATGCTGGAGATGATTCAAAAGGGGATTCCCATCCCCGGCATCAGACAGATCCCAGACACCGTCGTTAGGGACGCAGTGAGTATCTCCCCTAGTGTTTCTCCTTCCTCTTTTCTTCTTCTCAAGATCGTCACTGAACTTGCAGTCTGTAAAACCATTTGGGAAACGTGCGGTACCCAAGAAGCCGTGGGAGAAGGATGTCGCAGCTGCAGAGGCGGTGGAGAAGCTATCTGTAGTCGACTCCGAATTTCCACCGTTAGATGACGCTGTATCACCTGCAGTAGAGGCCGAGTCTGTAAGCAAAGAAGAGTCTGTAAGCAAAGAAGCGTAAGACGATGCATGAGCAGAATCATGTAGGATTCAGGAGGCAATACGAATGGCGTTCTGGAGAGGGGATAGGGATACAAGGCTTATGGATTACCACAGAGTCAACAATGTCAAGCAAAACATTACAAACCCGACACGGGAAGATCCCATTTACGAGTGCGCATAAGATAATAGAGGGGACCAAATTACTTGTAGAAGGATCATTTCTAGGGAGCTACCTAATGCTCAGTTGAGGACTACCACAGATGCTGTCCAAGCTGGACCAAGGCCGCACTCCAAAGTCTCCGGAATGTGATACATAACTACATACAATCATTGTCTTTGACTTTTGGTCCGATATGCCATGCTTGCCTAGTTGTCCATCCTCGCCATCCTCCGGGTTGTCCAGTTTGAATTTTGATGAGACTAAAGGAGTATCAAAGGGGTATGTGGATGTGTCGATGAACCGCCATGTATAGATGCGAGCATTCTGGCTGGGCTTCGTGATGCAACTCCAACGCCCACTTAGGGTTTCGAGGTCACAGTGACGCACCTCCATATCGCAAAATCCGTAACCATGAAGTGTCCAATGCACTCAGACAAGTGATAACCTGCCGAGCGTAGGATGACAGCTGATTTGTAAATTAATGGCCGAGGAAGATGTTTCGTAAGCACGGACAAATGAGGTGGTGCAACGACTTTGTCAAAGTTGAGGGAAATCGAATGGGGTGACAGGGAATTAGGGGAAAGAGGTCTTATAGTGACGCAGAGTGAGAACAGTTGAGAAGTTGATGGCGACAGTATGAAAAGATGGTGACAAAGTCTAGCGGTAGCCGCCGCCGCCACTGTAACGAGGACCAGCACCCATACGGTTCATGGCAGGACCAACTCCGGGGCCGGGACGAGTAGCAACAGCGGGGTTGGTGCAAAGCATGCCCACGCGAGATCCAAACTTGGAGCCTCGAAGAGAGACCATGTGCTTGCGGATGTGGGCGGCGACAACCTCACGGTGCTGCAGACCCGCATGAGTGAGGATGTACTGAATGAGATAATTGCCGTACTGGTCGCTTGCAATGTCAACGAGGGGGATGCGAGGGCGATCAACGCGACCCTCACAGACCCGATCAAGATAGCGGCTGAGGAACTCTCCCCCTCCAATCTTCAGGCACTTCTCGACAACCTTGGAGGCGTACTGATCAGTGCTGTATTCGGCAGCGTAGCGAATGACATGATCGATAGCACGGCTTCTGTCCGCTGGAGCGCCATGCTCACAGATGTGCTGGATGCACCAGTTTCCGAACTGTCCGTGAGCCACAATGTCAATGTTGGCAAGGACTTCCTCAATACAGGGACGCTACAAATCCATAGTTAGACGCATATGTAGAAAAGAGGGTCGGAAAATGTCAGCATACCTTATCTTCCTCGAGACAATTCTCGAAGATGTTCTGGACAACCAGACTGCCAGTTTCGCCCAAAGCGACTTCGTGCCACATGCCTCGCAAAGCCTCATTGACGAACTTCATGATCTGGGGCGGGGACTCGGACCATCGAAGCTCAAAGAGCTTCTGCCAGACATGACAGGCGTAACGATGAATAACGGTCTCGGGAATTCTGCGAAGAAGTTCGTGGACCATGATAGCCTTGTAGTCCTCGGGGACGGAGTCGAACGCCTTCTGAACGACATGGCAACCAAAGGGATCCATGGACAGATTGAGAGTATTGCCGCGAATGGCTTCCGCGATCTTAACAACTTGCTCTGGAGTGCCGTGCTCGAAGCAACGCTGTACAAGGAAGTTGCCAAAACGGTTGACCATGAGAGGATACGCTTGGGCAACGATTGCCTCCACGATCTCGTACTTCTGGTCTGGAGTGCCAACCTTGAGCTTCTGCTGCAGGAAGATGGAGGCCTGCTGGTCATTGTTGCAGACAATCTTATCCACAATGTACTTCCAGTTGCAATTGACATTCCGATCCAACAAGCGGCGGTAGTTGAGAGGCTCAGTAGTTGGCAGGTACGTCTGGCCCTCCGTGGCAATGGCCTGTTGGGGATGGAACATTAGCACTTTGCATCAAGGTCCATGTCTGGCATTGTCACGTACCTCGCTCTTCCATCCATCGCCAGTGGTGAACTCAGTTGCATGGGGAGACAATGAACTTCCTGGACCCTGCTGGTTGAAGCCTTGATAGCCCATATTGCCTGAAGCGCTACCAGGAGGACCACCCATGGGATCGAACGGAGCAGGAGAGGGAGTGAAGCCGCCATAGTTATGTCCAAAGTTGGTTCCTCCGTATGGCTGAGGAGACGGCCAGCGGCTGTTGTCGAACCGGTTGTTTCGGCGACTGCTAGGGGGCCGAGAGTACATCTCGGGTTCATGGCTCATACGATCATTGCGAAAACCATCCGCCATAGAGTACGGACCAGCGGGATCCATATAGCCCTGGTTGAAGCCGCCACGTCCGCCACCATACCAGTCACCACCAGAGTCGGAAATAGGAGCAGCCGCATCAAAGGAGAGAGGAGCTCTATTGTTGCTCCAATGGCGGGGACGACTGTAGCTGTTGATGAAAGGGGCGCCGATATCCGAGGAGTTGTCGTCGGTAGGCCAGGCGTTCTCAGCTCCGAATGCCCCCGAACGAGCCGCAGGCGGAGCCGGAGCGATGTCTTCTTCTTGCTTGACCGAGCGCGACTGGGCCAGTTCGTGATCAAGGCGAGAGATTTTGTTCTGCGCTCGGGCAAGCTCCATCTTCAGTCGAAGGAGCTCGTCCACGTTGCCGTTAGTCTCCTTTAGAGCGGCACTGGTTGGGCGACTCGTGGGCGCAGTCGTGGGGAACGAGTCCGTGGCAGGAGTGATAGGGACCGAGTTCGTCCTCGAAGAAGCCTTGTCGAAGTGACGGGAGTACAAGCTGTTCTCATCAGAGTTCTTCAAAGCTTCGTTCTGTTGATCGAGGGCAGCTTGCTGCTCAGACAGCTTGGCAAGGAGCATATCCATAGGGTTCGTGCCAGCAATCGTGTCCTGATTGGTCTTCTTCTGTCGCCGTTGTGAGCGAAGCGGCAGATTGCGGGAGGAAGAACCAACCTTGAGAACATTCTGATTGGCAAGTTTGGACGTAGCAAGAGTTGCAATGGTTTGCTTCTGCTTGAAGGCAGGGAGACCCTTTGATTTTTGTTAGCCCGGGCCTCTATCTTGTTCGAAGAACTTGTGTTGTACGGCAGTGGCCAAGGTCAGAAAAAATGATAGACCTTCAAGACAGCGGTGAGAAAAGAATTGTACTTACCGAGGCAGCTGACTCGATGGAAGGCTGGATGTTTTCCTCTTCGTGATGAGGCTTCAAAGCCGGAGGAGAGCTTCGCTTGGGGGTCTTGGGTGTGAGACCCGCGGAGGGAGGTGTAGACATCGTGACGTCGGACAATCTCTTCTTAGAGGGACAATGCTTTGCAGAAGATAGAAACAGAGGTAATGCCGTAAGGTGGCAGACAAGTTGAGAAAGATTATTTGGGAGGGAGACACAAAGAAGAGTGCTGATGAAGATCTTCTCTGCAGTGGAGGGAGAGGTTTGTTTGTGGAGGAATTGTGGAGGGGAAAGGTGAGGAAAGCTTTTTGTGGTGGGAATGGGGAGAGAATGGGGGACGGGAAGGTGAGGTAGGAACGAGGAAGGAGCTCGAGTTGGTGTTGGGAAGGAGGCAGTCCCGGGCAGCACAGGCACCTTTTTGGAAGTAAGGCGTACGAAGGGCCTAATCGAAGCTGCTGCGGGCCAGGACAGAATAATCCGAAAGCGTCAAGATCGTGAAGTTGGTTCCGAGTTGAAGGAGGAATGATGGGCTGCTGCTTGGCCTGGCGAGGGAAGGGTTGTTGTTGAGGGTGTTGAAGTCGGAAGGAGTTCGCGACTCGGCTGAGATTTAGCACGGTCTTCCTGATTTGGACGAGGAAGTTCAACTTGTTTATGCAGGTACCGTACAAGTCTTTCTACATGTGAAGACCTGTCGACCCGCCCCATATTCCACCTGAAGGAGGAGGGCCTGACTAGCCGGCCTCTGATTATTCACCACTGCCTACCATAGCGTTGTCTAACCACCAGATGACATTCAACTTGAAGAGAAAGCATACCGCCCCTGCTGCCTTGCCCAAATCTGTTCATCAGCCCTTTGAAAAGACTCAGCTTTTGCGATGGCACTTCTTTGCTTGTCCAGATATGCCAAGAGCAGTAGGACGAAGATCCACAGATCCAGCGCAGAGATCAGACGGGGTTGTTCCTAACACTGGAGAAGTAGGAAGTGCTGTGTGTCTTTACTTGCGAATAGCTCCATGTAGCACGCAGTGGCGTTCAGCACCTACCGACCAAGGCAATCATTTAGCTGGGATTCAATAAAACGGGAGTTGTCATTTGAAACATGAAACAAGGCTGTCTCTCGGAGAGACTTATGATTTTTTGACTCTGATATCCTCCATGGTATTTGTACACTGGCTGCCCTCCATGTTGATGGACATCCTCCCCATGACCCGCTGAAGCCGTGATCCCCGGTATTTTCATACCGTGCCTGTGCCTGAGGGTCCCTAGACATCCGCATACTGTGACAGAGCCACATGGGCTGCCTCGGTCGGCGACTGTACTGCCCCAAGTCTCGCCGCTCTCTATATGTGGAGAGTGTCCTGGCGCGCAAGATTCCGGGGGATCGCTCTATGAATGCACATCGTATCGTACAATCGATCTCGTGGTCGACGTCTATCGCTTCTTGGGCTCGGCTGTAGAACGGTCAGCGTAACCATCCAATTGGAGGCAACAAACGAGATGACTTACTCTTCGTCTTCTTCTTTTTCGGCGCGCTCTTTCCTCTGGCCTTCAGTCTGTCTAGGCGTTAGCAATAGCTCCTTCGCCCCCTTCAGCCCATGACGTACCCGGCAATGTGTTCCAAGCGGTCCATCTCTTCCAAGTCTAGAGTTGTGACATGAGGACCAAACTCCCTCTGCACATCCTTGACGGTCGCAACCTTGCGTGGGTAGTAGTCGGCGATAGCAGGTCCCTTCAATCGCTGGCGCAGGATCTTGTTGCCCGTCCTCACTCCCTCCGGGTTAAATACTGTCGCAAAGACTTCGCATTGGGCCTTTAGAGGTTAGCAAAAAACCAGACAGGTCAGAGAGTTGCGAAATTACCTTCATGAGGTCCAACAACCTCGCGCGTGGGACACTCATCTTTGCAGGTCTTGATAGAGCTCTATCAGACCAGCCAGAAATTTGTCGCGAAGTCGAACAACCTTAGCTTGAGCGAACCTGAGTCCTGAATTGGACCCGCAAAATGAGAGCTGCGCACTGCAATTGGTTGCGGTCTTGGGATCATCGATTGGCCGGCAACACTCGGTACGTACCCACGTCCTTGTCGCATCCCAGGCTAACGGACTTGATCCCTGCAGCGAAAGCACAGTGAGCTCCACCCAAGCCTGGACTGCTTAATTTTTGTTGCTTCTTGAGATGCTCACTGGTGAATAAGACGTAAGTTTCGATATTTCGACTAAATACTCTCATTCCTATCGACCACATTTCAATTTTTTCAATTTTACAACATCAACCACGACATTTCGTGGTATCGTTCGACCAGAACTTGCAATCTGTTTGCCTCGAGGGAGAATCAAAATGAGCAAGCGCTCGAGTTCAGGGACGCTACCACCGAGCAAGCGAAGGCATGCCGAAAGCGAGGCAATAGACTTGCTTCTCGATCACGGCGATGACCTCATCAAATGTCTCCAGGCACTTACCCAGGCCAAGACAAGATCTTCTATCCATCGCGAAGACTTGCAAAAAATCCGGCAGCTTAGCAAGGTGTTATTGCCATCTTTTGAGCAGTTGGCTAGTGAAGGAAAGACAGAAGCCCTCGATAGCGGTGAGATTGACGAGAATGAGGTAAAGACATGAGCTTCGTTTCATACGTTGTCAACTTTTTGCTGACTTAATAGGGGAAGAATGCATCACACGAGAAGGGCCAATCCCCATTGACACCAAAGCAAAGCCCAGTGGTCTCAGGACCGCCAATACCGTCTTTCATCTTGGTCAAGCCATGGACGCCAGCCGATATTCCGAAGACAATGCCGCCTCTGCCAAAAATCACGAATCCTGTCTTAGAGTTGGCGGCCTTCACCCATGTAGGCGTGGCCAAGCACAAATCAGATTTGAGTTACGACCGCCTTGAGTGGCTTGGAGACGCCTATGTCGAATTAATCTCATCTTCCCTCATTTTCCAAACTTTCGGAGGGATGTCAACGGGACAGTGCTCGCAGATCCGAGAGCTTCTGATTCGCAATGCCAACCTGGGAGAGTACTCAACACACTACGGGCTGTTCGAAAGAGCGAACCTGCCGTCCGAGTTCAAGCCCAGAGGTACCCAGCCGGCCGTGGCAAAACCACATGAAATCAAAAAGGTTCGCGGTGATTTGTTTGAAGCATATGTCGCTGCTGTGGTTCTTTCCGATCCCATCAACGGTCTCACTCGAGTTGCAGAGTGGCTCAGGACACTATGGGCATCGACTATCAAAGACCAGATCAGGTCGGTTGCCAAGACGCCCGGGTTGCAGACAGTCAAGGAGCTGGGCGCAACGGTGACAGAAGAGTCTAGTCTGCCTCCGAAGGTCCTCCTCAGTCAGGCTATTGGTGCGAATGGCATCACCATTCGCTACGAGGACTTACCCAATGCGAACAAGAAAGACAAGTACAACAAAAAGCTGGCCCTCTTCAGCGTCGGAGTGTATCTTGACGGATGGGGCGAGAAGAATAAGCTCCTCGGAACCGGTAGCGACTTGAACAAGAAGGAGGCGGGCCAAAAGGCAGCGCAAGTGGCGCTTAACAATAAGAAATTGTTGAAGGTGTACCAGGACAAGAAGAAGGCTTTCCTGGCAGCTCTTGGGGAGAAATAGGCGAGGTCAGAGTGAGGCGGTTGCACTATACCCATGATACCAGTTTCAATTGAAGCAATAACCATCTACGAAGAAATTTGAGTCTCCGAGTGACGAGATTACTCGAAAAGCTAACGCCGGAAAGTACATAGCTGGGAAGGGTTATTAGGATGGTCGATAGAGCACATCAAAAATACCAGATGAACTCGACTCGGACGTTCGCTGAAGTGTTAACCATACAAACCGCGTGGGTGCTCAACCTAGGAGCCGAGATGAGTAAACAGCTAGCTGCCCAATGCCGAACAACGATGGACCTCCGTAGCCGCTATACTGGGACCCATAGGCCTCGGCTCAATATCAGCTCAGAACTTATACATACTGAAGTCTCAATTGACGGAACTCTAAATTGAGGACGAAAATAAAACAAAAGACAATGGAACATCCCGCACATCCAAGGTTGCCCGCATTTCACGTGCCTACATGTCTCTCTCGGCCGACAAGCAGATGCCGCAGGCTACCGGTACCTAGCTTCAATCACACTCACAAGGGACAAAAGACGCGGGGATGATGGGAGTAAATTGCTAGTCGGGATCTCGGAGAAGCACAAACCCCTGACAAGCCCACGTCAGGCCCGCGCACCCAGGTCCCGCGTCCACTCTAAACTCCCCCAGATGCTGCTGCTGGGTTGGGGTCGTAGTTGGTTGCGCGGGCTTCGCTGCGTCTGCATTGCGTTGCGTGACCCGCGGCCGAGGCAAACAGAATTTACCGGAAATCGCCCACCCCTTCCGATGCTGCTAACATCGGCGCGAACCCCAGTGGCCCTCCCCAGGGCCCAATTTAGAGACAGCTGATTGCCGGTACCGAAATACCTTTGCCTCAATGCCAGCACCCGCCATCGCCGCCGCTACTCTCTTGCTACCCACCAGATCCCTTCTTTCTCTTTGGACGACGAAGTGAAAGAGTCTCATGGCGAAGCTCTCACATAATGCATGTCAGCGTGCTGGATCTCTAACTCTCTCCTTTTCCCAGCACCTGTTGCTCTCCCATTCCGTTTCAGTTCCGGCTGCCAAGGTACCTCGCTCTACCGGCACATCCAGGTGATTTGCGGAACTAGGTTATCTGAGTTGCTATCTTCGCCTGGTGTTGTTGAGCCGAACCCAACCCCGACGCCCAGAACACCTCGGATATACCCCCATTAATCGAACGCGTCTTCCCTCCCTTTGCCAACTAATCACGTCGGTCCGGTCGCCTCGAGAAACGGCTTTCTAGATGGCTGACTCCGTGGGTGAGTGCAAGCAGAACCCTACTCTGCGCCCGTTGTGGAGAGAGCAATTCCCCGGCTAATTATGCGATTATGCCTTCTCTCTATAGATCGCGTGTTCGTCCATGCCTTAAATACGGTCAAAAAAATCCCCAAAACGGGGGCATCGCGTCCCCCGCCGTCCGACAGACTTCGACTCTATGGCCTTTACAAGCAAGCGATGGAGGGGGATGTCGATGGCGTCATGGAGCGGCCGACCTCGGCTTCCGGCATGCCAGCCGACGAGCTTCAACGCGAGAAAGACAAGTGGGATGCATGGAACCTCCAGAAAGGTCTGAGCCGGACGGAGGCGAAGAGGAGATACATCGAGGCATTGATCGAGACGATGCACAAATATGCGACAACACCGTAAGCCCGCATACCTACCCTACTGGCACTGGAACCGCTCTTTGCGCATCGCAGCCCACTGACTCGTCACCACAGAGACGCAAAAGAACTAGTCTCGGAACTCGAGTTCGTATGGAATCAGATCAAGAACAATAGCCCCAGCTCGACCGACTCCTCACCGAAAGGCACAGGTTACACCGGTGAATTACGACAGTTCCAGCCACCCCTGACCGGATCCGAAGGCCCCCTGAAGGTTCTCAGCCCCATGAGCGAGGACGATGCGGCAGAAAGGAACTCAGATGGAAGGATAGGTTACGACGACGATGACGAAGGGGGCGCGCTCGTGCCTAGCAGTAACTGGTCCCGCAGCGTGGAGCGCGCACTCGAGAAGCTGTCCGCCGAGGTCGCGGCATTACGAGAGCAAATAACAACAGGCAGAGAGTGGAAGTCCAAAAAGTCACGAAGCTTCCCAGCCTGGCTACGATGGTTTACATGGGTTATCATGAAACATCTAGCCATCGATATGGTGCTGCTAGCCTTCATCCTACTGTGGATGCGCAAGCGGAAGGACCGGCGACTGGAAGACTTGGTCCGGGCAGGGGTGAAATTGATGCGGGAGTACGTGAGGAACGTCTTACCGGCCAGATGACAACTCTCCCGCTGGCAGCAAGAGAAGGCGAAGCTTTCAGGCTGATATAGCATTGACTCGATCGACAGCATTGCTACTTGCTGCTTGTAGCGACACCGATCTGTTTAGTGTGTTCTCTACCCTTCGCTCCGCTTGAGAGGCTTCTTCGACAGCAATGACGCTTTGAAGTCAGTCTTGGAGTAGTGGCGAATGCTCCCATGACGGACCGAACGTCTCTGCCCCTTTGATCGAACACGGAATGATCTTATCAAGGGAACAGTCTGGATAGCGACGATGAAGAAATCCCCTCTTGGAGATGGGCAGCCAATGCGAAGTATCCCCCAAAGGACATCACAAAGAAAGCCATCACATGGGAAAGCAACCACACATGCTGAGCCAAATGCAGCAGTTGGCCAAGTCTTCGGGGTCACGAGGCAGGAACCGAACGGACTGAACAACCTACATATTCATGGAATGTCCAGAGCTAGGACCGGGCGGATCATATAAATGTGATATCCAATAGCAAATAGTTACAAATTCAAAAATTTCAAAAATTTAGCGTTTCACTCTCGTACCTATGCCGCCGCATTTACCTGCTCAGACTCGCACTGAACCTTTCACTTAGTACACCAGCGAAGTTGAGGAAACTTCAACGACTTCACTTCAAAGTGAGAAACAAGCAAACAAGCGATGCTAACAGGGCCTCTGCAACGAAACTTGAACATATCTTGTTCATGTGTGCCCATTGAGATTCGAGTCAATCCCAAAAATTAGTAGGACCGGGGTGTAAGTTTGGAGCCACCTTGAGACTGCGATCACAGGCGTGGGACCTCAGCTTACCTTCACAGTTTTAGTCCCACCTTCCCACGAAGCACAACCTCAAACTTTCGTCCTACACACTCCATCATATCACTCAATTCAATCAGGTCGCGACACTGCGATTTCTACCTGAGATGCGGTCAAGAATCAGACTGGCACTCGGATTTCGATAATAGCGACGGACTCGTGGGCAAGATGCAAGCCACAAGTGATCAGTCGACGAGACTTGGAAAGGCAGAGGCCTCTGCTGATTATACCATGGGAGGAGGAGGAGGATATCCCACAAGCCGTGCCGGCTCTGGCGATGTTCGTTCCTTTAGAAGAGAGCCTCTTCGATCCCTACGACGCTCCGCGTACCGAGATTGAGCGCATCAAGCTCTGCCAAGAGAATCTCGAAAAACACACAGCCGCCGTCGAGCAGAACCTTGTCTTTGTTTATGAGAGAGAGCACAAGCGAATCTTACAGGTTGCGAAACAAGAAGAAGCGGAAAAGGGCTTCATTGAGACGCCTGTGGGCCTCATGCAAGGCGAGGAAGCTCTCATCATGGAGTCAGTCCACGCCCCGATACCGCCCGGCGCCGATTATAACGACCGGCACTTGTCCACGTACAAGCCTCCCGAGACTCCGCAAGTGATGCCTCCCAGGCCATCAGCACTTCAATGGTCTCTTTACAATGCTGGCCAAGCCGTGGGTCAACTGCACGGATACCACAACCACGCCCAAGAGCTCAAAGAGGCTTATCAAGAGATGTTGAACGCTGTACTCAAGGCATCGTTTGCCGACCAAGGGCAGGGGGATGAACCTGCTCGGAGCTAGAAGCGACAAAAGCTCGAGTAGCAGTTGGCGAACGTGTCCCAGGAAGACAATAAGAACTCAGGATGGCATGCAAGACAGCCGGAGGTCTGAGAAGGATGGCCGACCGACCAAATCGCTACCGTAAGGATGTTTCCGGCGTATGACGGCGGCGCATCCGCCACGCGCTGCGTGTACATAAGTAGTGTACATACACATCACGAGATATTAGTAAAAACACACGTACTATCTACATCTAAGTCTCGTCGTCATCATGATATGTAACGACCGGCGGTAAGAGGCAGCGGTCATTGAAGAATTCTCCCATGCTTCCATAAACGGCGTCAAAAAGCTTCATCTAGGTACACTAGATAGAGGAAGGCTCGATCAAGCATCTTGCGAAGCTCAAGCTCACCTACGATAAGTGTCCATACAATTTAAAGTGAAGAGGAAAAAGAGAAAAAGGCGCTCTGCGACGAAATTTTCCGCAGACTAAATGGTGCTCAGAGAGAAATATTGATGCCTCAGGCGGCAAGTAAGCTCCCGGGATGGTCGACCAATCACGGTTGATGTAAATTAATCGCGATTTACGCACTAGCGCCACCAAATCCCCATGGTCCGGGACAGAAGAGCAGTTCCCTCCCGACGTCAACGATTGAATATCAATCCGCCTCTCACCCAAACGCCCTCCCCCGTTTCGTCAGATTCTCAATCCGTCAAGGCGATACGATGCTGCGGCATTCATTAGCACGTTCGGCTTGGCGGACTGGCAAGCAGGCCGCCAATGCCTCGCGAACTTTTGCTACAACAGCTCGCAGGAATGCCGAAGTCGAACTGACTGTTGGTAAGGACGAACCCGCCCTCGCGAGGGGCTCAATTGGTTTCTATCGAGGTTGCTGACGAGATCTTTAGACGGAAAGAAGGTGTCGGTCGAAGGTGAGCTGCAATGTGGCCGTGTCCGAGGATTCCTACTAACGATCTTCTAGCCGGCTCCGCCCTGATTCAAGCTTGCGAAAAGGCAGGCGTCACAATTCCCAGGTTTGTCCAGCCGTCAATAAACAAGCCGTATGGCATTAACTAACTTCTCTACAGATATTGCTACCATGAGTACGACACCCTTTTCGATCGAATCGATGACCGCTGCGAGGGATGACCCCCCGACTGACAAATACAACAGAAAGCTTGCGATTGCCGGTAACTGCCGTATGTGCTTGGTCGAAGTCGAGCGTGCACCGAAGCCCGTAGCCTCCTGCGCATGGCCCGTCCAGCCAGGTATGGTCGTCAAGACCAACTCTCCCATCACACACAAGGCCCGCGAGGGTGTCATGGAGTTCCTCCTCGCCAACCATCCTTTGGACTGCCCTATCTGCGACCAGGGTGGTGAGTGTGATCTCCAGGACCAGTCGATGCGATACGGTGGCGACCGTGGCCGCTTCCACGAAATCGGCGGCAAGCGTGCCGTTGAAGACAAGAATATCGGCCCTCTCATCAAGACCTCCATGAACAGATGTATTCACTGCACCAGATGTGTGCGTTTCTCCAACGATATTGCCGGTGCCCCCGAGATGGGCTCTTTCGGACGTGGCAACGACATCCAGATCGGTACCTACCTTGAGAAGAACCTCGACTCCGAACTTTCCGGCAACGTTATCGACCTGTGCCCCGTTGGTGCTCTTACCTCGAAGCCTTACGCTTTCCGCGCAAGACCTTGGGAACTGAAGCACTCCGAGTCCATCGATGTCCTTGACGGCTTGGGATCCAACATCCGCGTCGACTCCCGTGGCCTCGAGGTTATGCGTATCCTCCCCAGACTCAACGACGACGTCAACGAAGAATGGATTAACGACAAGACTCGTTTCGCCTGCGACGGATTGAAGACCCAGAGATTGACCATGCCTTTGATCCGCCGTGAGGGCAAGTTCGAGCCCGCCGACTGGGAGCAGGCCCTCATGGAGGTCGCCAACGCCTACCACCACATCCAACCCAAGGGCAACGAGTTCAAGGTTATCGCCGGTGAGCTGACCGAGGTTGAGTCCCTGGTTGCCATGAAGGACCTGGCCAACAAGCTCGGCTCCGAGAACTTGGCCCTCGACATGCCCAACGGAAGCAAGCCCGTCGCCCACGGTATCGACGTTCGCTCCAACTACTTGTTCAACTCCAGGATCTACGGTATTGAGGAGGCTGATGCCATCCTCATCGTTGGAAGCAACCCCCGCCACGAGGCCGCTGTTCTCAACGCTCGTATCCGCAAGCAATGGCTTCGCTCTGACCTCGAGATTGGTGTCGTTGGCGAGACCTGGGACTCAACCTTCGAGTTTGAGCACCTTGGCCTCGACCACGCTGCCCTGAAGCAGGCTCTTGCCGGCCCCTTCGGCAAGAAGCTCCAGGCTGCCAAGCGTCCCATGATTGTTGTTGGCTCTGGTGTCACTGACCACGTTGACGCCAAGGCCTTCTACGAGACCATTGGTGCCTTCGTCGACAAGAACGCCGCCAACTTCATCACCCCTGAGTGGAACGGTTACAACGTCCTTCAGAGAGCCGCTTCCCGCGCCGGTGCTTTCGAGGTCGGCTTCACCACCCCCTCCACTGAAGTTGCTCAGACTGCCCCCAAGTTCGTCTGGCTCCTTGGTGCCGATGAGATCTCTGAGAAGGACATTCCCAAGAACGCTTTCGTCGTCTACCAGGGTCACCACGGTGACCGCGGCGCCCAGATTGCCGACGTTGTTCTCCCCGGTGCTGCCTACACCGAGAAGGCTGGTACCTACATCAACACCGAGGGCCGTGTCCAGATGACCCGTGCCGCCACCTCCCTGCCCGGTGCTTCCCGTACCGACTGGAAGATTGCCCGTGCCATCAGCGAGTTCCTCGGTGCTCCTCTGCCTTACAACGACGTTGCCCAGCTTCGTGACAGAATGGCCGAGATCAGCCCGGCCCTGGCGGCCTACGATGTGGTTGAGCCCGTCGCTCTGCAGCAATTGAGCAAGGTTCAGTTGGTTGACCAGAACAAGGGCTCCAAGGCCAGCGGTACACCTTTGAAGAAGGTTATCGAGAACTTCTACTTCACAGACGTCATCTCAAGAAGGTATGTTATCCGTGTGAAGACGTTTTCGAAACCTCTATCAGACATAGCTAACATATACATCCAGTTCACCGACAATGGCCCGCTGCTCGGCGGCCAAGGCCAGTGGCAGCCCCAAGACCAACTTCATGGCGCCAGGCATGGAGGAGGACAGGCCAATGGGCCAGATTGCGTACGGAGCATGAGGGACAGACTGTACGACTACGACCGTAGATGGAGGAGGACGAAGATGAAGAAGAAAAGAGAGTTCCTTTGTTTGGGATGGATGCATTGCTTGTATATAATAGCACGCGCGGGTAGAGAGTGGTGGGTAGTTGAAGAAAGTAAATACCTTCATATCTTTTGTGTCTCGTGATGTCTGATATCATCTCCAACTGGCCGCCTTTAGTAAAGAAGGTTTATGGACCTACTGGGTAGTTAGTCAAGTGAGTGTTGCCGCTCAATGAAACATCACCGCTATTCTTACCAGTACTACTGCCGCCATCATAACCCCTTTTTCCCCCTTGAGGTAGATAGTCAAGGTAGTCGATCCTCTGGGATTACACCCTGAGAGTACACCCTGAGAGATGCAGGCGAGGGCAATCTGAAGGTAGTGGTCATGATGAAGGTGATCGTACAACCTTCAACTCTACTTGTTACGCACCTAGCCTCCACACACCGTATACAAATTTTGTACTTGTCAATACCACGCATAATGATGCAAATAACAAAAAACAATCTTGTGGCTCCCCGACGCGGGTCGTACTACCAACGATCTCAAGGAGTATGTATTCATCAATCAGCAGCGCTACGACGGCGGAAGACATCCGAACCAAGGATTCTGGATGAATTGGCCGCACATCGCAAACTGGCCGAACGTGTGTTCGAAGCAACGGAAACAAAAAAAAAGATTTTTTGAAGGATTTGATGAAGATTCTAACAGATGGTCTTCTTCGCGATGAGAAGTTGCTGGAAACTTTAGAACGGTTCCAGAAAGCAAATTAACCGGTATGATGGAGGAAGTACCTCAGATCGCGCAGAACGATAGAGTTGGTATTTCCCATTCCCTTATGAAAGGAGATGTTTACTGGGGTTCCTAGTTCTTCGTTTCCGTGGCTTTGATCAATTCGACCTGTAAGTCATGGTGGCTACCGAAACAAGATTCAGATAAATGTCGTTCTAACGTCTGGGGATGGCAATCATGAACGTATATGAACCAGTGGCAGCACTTCAACACTTAACACACCCTTTCTTGATCTTAGGCCCTCGACATTCTCTTTGAAGACTCGTATCTATGACCTGGATTCCCTAAGAGCTGCAGCTGCACTGAATAGCCCTCTTCAACTTGGGCACATCTCCAACCCACCGTTCCTCCTCTGCCTTATCACCCTTGTACTCCTGACCGTCAATGTCCTGACCGTCCCAGCTCTCCTCAAAGGGATGCAGCGCCATCTGCATGACCCTCCTCAACACATCCCTCTCGTCATCCTTCTCAACCCGCTTGATAATCTCGTCGAGCACCCAGCCACGCGGCACAAAGTTGGGGTTCACGGCCTTCATGGCCTTCTCTCGCTCGGCATCCTGGCCCTCTCCTTCGCCCCAGTCCTCGACGACGCGAGCGCGCCACTTGTCCAACCAGTTCCCGACATCAGACCGGCCCTTGGCCTCGCTGCCGGCCGTCGCGCCCTCTGCGTGGAAGAAGCGCGCAGCCGTCTCGCGGCGGGCGTCCTCGGTAGCAATATCCGTCAGCTTGACGGAGCTGAGGCGTCGGAAGAAGTGGTTAAAGTCAAGCTCGTGGGTCTCCATGGTATCCAGCAGCCCGCTGAATAGCTCATCAAAATCACTCTCCTTGAAGTTCTTCAGACCAACGCGCAGCGTCATGAGGCGCTTGTACTCGGCCATGAAGAGCGCCTTGTATTCCTCGCCAACCTGCATGATGAGCTTCTCGGCCCGTCCGACGAGGACC